GATGCCATATGATCGAAGTTACTCCTCTCAGCCCTAGAACAGGTTTTCAATACCCTCCATTTAGAAACCAGGGGCTGAAGATAAATAAGCAGTGTGTAGGCAGCCTCTGGCTTGCGGACGGCATTCTGATCCTCTCGAGATCTCCACAAAAACTCCAAAGAAAAACTTGAGCGATGAACGAAGTAGGACTGGAAACGCCCTGAAGAATAGTCATGTCATGCGTACCAAATACATGACTGCCTCACGTGTTGAAGTCAGGGAACTTAGACTTGAGGAGGTGCAAAACATTGTCTTTATGGGATAACTCATATCTGGATTGGAGAACCGACTCGTTGAAACCAATGGAAGAATAAGAATGGTATGCACTTTTGGAAATTTAAAAATGTTCCTGTCCAAGAAATTGCCCTCTTGCTTGAAACAGAAAGATTTTGATCAGTTGCAAGTGTTGCAAATGCAAATCTATAGGTGCGAAACGTGTACCTTAAGCCATATAACTGTTCATAAACTGCAGATTACGCAGTGCTTCATTTAAGATGTGTTGGAAGTAAACACTGAACATTGGAACCGAACGAATGAATCAGATTATAAACAATGGCCATGCTCCCAAGTAAAGAAATTGAAAGGTAATATGGGGGGGGGCATTTTGCAAGAGGAACCGACTATTGCTAAGCCAAGGAGACACTTTTCCTGTATTCCAGGAAAGGGCAAAAGACCCGTTAGAAGACCTCCATATCGATGATAGAATCAGTTTATGACGTAGTCTTGGAGAGGCCTTAATTCAGAAGTGGATCGTACAAGACTGTTGCTGACGGTATGGATTATGGGCCTCGGTAGTGCGAAGTACATGGCTGAGCTCCTCGTCTTCACGATGGAGTCCCGACTGTTTCCCATGCTTTGAGTGCGTGAGGTTCATCAGATAAATGTCACTGTAGTCTTACCTCATATCCTTAACTTCATTAAAGGCTGTGAAATATAGTACTTAATTGTCATTGCTTGGCCGCGTTTTTCATGCACTGTCGAATGAAGGCTTCTTCAAGACTTTGCCACAAAGCTATGTCTTCTGCTTATTTTAGCCATGTTGCATCAGCAAATTTCTCAAACTTTTTTCGTCATCGAGAATCTGAAGGTCTTCGAATAGCCCGTCCAGTTTTTACCTTTTTACGTATTTTGGAAGCCAGGAAAATATACATTTAGTCGATTCTTCGTTGCTCATTGCAGTTTGAACTTCCTTGCTCTTGCACTGACGTCGTAAACCCATGTTTGTGGTCTTATTAACGAGTCTGTTCGACAGACTGAAAGTGGTAAATCTATTATGCTAATTTTCACTCACAGATAGTGCTATAATCGTGAAGTGACAGAGGGATGGAGTGGAATACGGTAAGTAAGGGCTTGTCGACACGGATGTGCTAGATCTTGAGTAGAGCTTACCAGATTGAAGTCGCAGAGCGTCTGAGACGCGCACAGCATCTTAATGTACGTTTGGTCGACCGCCTCGATGGCCAGCAACTGGTTCTTCGGACATTGGAAGACGTTGAAGTCGCCATCACCGGTGACAGCTGTGGCATAGGTCGGTACGGTAGCAAGCGAGGCAAGCATCGCCAGCCAGGCTGACACGGCCATCGTACTGCGTGGACGGAGGAGGACGAGAGGGCGGAGGTACGACGTCGTCGATCCGGCGACGTAGTGCAACAAGTGTTGCCAACGTGGCATCGTTTCAGCCTTATGAAGC